GCCATTGGCTGAAACAGCTTCTTTATTGATCAATGGTAATAAAACATATCCACAGCATATTGAGGGGAATCCCATATCATCTACCCTTTTCTGTCTAAATAAAAAGGAAGGTTTTAACTTTAACATAGTAAAATTACAGTACAAAATAGTTATCAAGCAAGAATTACAGTTTCAATATTTCTTTATGAGTTTAAAGTTTCATATTTAACTTATCCTTTGTCATAACTAAGCAAAACTGTAACTATCTGTCCTCAACTCCACCAAAGACACCAGAAGGATATTACATTACCTAAGTAAACAGGAAGTGCATTGTAAGCAACTTCCAAACATCTAGAATTGACAGAGACATCTTACTTCCTGGACAGTCACCCAAAGTTCTGTAATGTTGGGGCCTCCATCTTCAGCCTACAAGCTCATAGTATCTGGCAGACTTTTCTATGAAGCAGAAAATTTGAAGATCGGTTCTTCCTTGTAATGGCAACGTTAATCAGTTGCTTTCTTCTATGTCCTGCAGAATGTCTGGCAGATTCTTTCATGAAGCAGGAACCCTAAAGGACCATCTTACCTTCTTTTGGCAAGTTCAGCAGTAATTTTTATGTATGTCCAATTTACACAGCATACCATAAAGCAGTCCAGGCATGAGCAATTTCTTGCCCAAATGGCTAGCAAACTCCATAAGCAGTCTCTCTGATGCCCATCATCCTCTTGAAGCTGATTGGTGCTGCCAGGAGCTATGTCTCATTGTCATGAAAAGTTCTAAGTTAACAAAATTCTTTAAATGCCATATTCTGTATGTCTTTGAATGGTTTGAAGAATATCTATCCATCTGAAATCTATCTCTGTATAGCTAGAAAACCTATCTAACATGACTACAAGTTTGACTATTATAGATGACTACCTATTAATCTATAATTTTAATTATACATTGCATTATTAAATGAGCTACACAAACATAATACCATTAAAAAGAGCAAAAATACATATACACAGTGTACCAAGTTGACCTTAAGTTTGTAACAATATACCAAATCTATACCAATGTAAAATACTCATCTCTATATCATATCTTCTCCTCCCCTTTTTTAGAATGAGATTGACTATGACCCTTTAACCATTTATAATCAACCCCTTTTAAATGAAAAAAATCATTTTTAAACAATATTTGGGAATTTGGGCATAGTTTTTTAGATTAGATCCTGCCGATTGGGAATGCTGTTAATCAGGTCTTCTGTGGGGTATCCTTTGTGCTTAGTCCTTCTCAGTCATCAGTTCTGAAGCTGTTGTGGATGTTGGACCACCTAGGCCATCACTTCACAGGTCTTATTTGATCAAACCATATTAGCCTGGAAAGAATCAACAGGTTCTCATCTTCTGTGGAAACAAAAGGAGAACCTCTTTGGAAACATCCACAAATTTTGAAGTCAAGATACCTTTAGAATATATACATTGGTTTAGCTTATCAGCCCCCACAACCAAATATCTCTCTGTAGTCAAAAACTTCAAAGAAAGCACAATAATATATATAATTCAGACTCTGTATATTTTCTATCTTTACATGACTTTTTAAAATTACTTTTATTTCTTTAATCTATGTCTGCCTGTACTTTAATATTACTTTTACTATCTTTTTAAAGACTTTAAATTTTTTTTAACTGTCTGTACTCTTTTTCCTCTCTCTCCCAAGCCTATGTACATGTTTTGAACACACTGTGTCTCGTTTAGAGGTCTTTTATGTTTGAATCTGTCCTATTGTGTATCTGAAATCCTTTTCTGACAAGGAGAATTTTAAAATGGGAAATAGTGTGGTCACAATGGCCCTGGAAGCTTGTTCCACCTCTCTCAGCCCTTCAGTATCACGGAGGTACCTTTACAGTCAGCTCTAGGACCGCCGGGTAGGAGCCGTGCTCAAAACCTCAACCCTGGGAAGCACTATGGAGCACATAAACCCTATTTTTTTTTTGTCTGAGTAAAAGCTACATTTTCCTTGCAGTGCATTGCATGGCCTGGTAATATCTCTGTATATGGCAGTGGGAATCTGCCATGCTTTCCTGCCTGTGCATGCCTAGCTGTTTTCCCAGGCATGGGTGCTGAGCAGCAGGCATGCTCTCAGCTACTTTACTCCTAACCCCAGTTGGGCATACAAGGACCCAAAATGGCTGGCAGACCATGCCTGTTTGCCCCAGGCATTCAGGTGACATTTTGTTGTACCTTACAATAAAATAGTTCCACACTAGCCCAGAATGGAGTATAATAAAGTTTTTTTTTCCCTTACTTAGGGGTAGACTCACAGAAAAAGCCATGATCTGTGTGAACAGGGAACTGGAATAGAATCCAGCAGCCAAGGGACCAATGCACGCTTTTTGTCTACATTTATAGTACATGAGACCACACCCAAAGTGGGCTAATATCTTAAAGGTCATTGACTAAAGGTATTCCCACAGCACCTCCCCCTTTTGTCTAAATAAGAGAGTTCCAATAGATTACTTACCAGCTCAGTTTAGATAATTAGAAAATAGTCTTTATATCCTGACAAAAATAAGTTTTAGAAAAATCAGTGAACCAAATTCTAAAGTTGGATTCCTTTTTTGTTCCTATACTCCTGGCACTGGGGTATGAACTTGGTGCCTCATGCATGCTAGGTAAAGCTCTGCTACAAAGCTATATTTCTAGATTTTTAAATAGTTTTTGAAGATTGCAATGATCTTGTTAAGTTCCTCAGGCTGCCTTTGTCTTGTGATCCTCTTGCCTCAGCTACTCAGTGGGATTATTGACCTGGGCCATTATGTCTAGCTGAGTTCTTTAAGAGCTTAAAGCAATCCCCAATATTTCTTCCTGCTGGTATGTTTATGATGCTCCGAGATTGATCATGAGTTTGTGTTTCTATGTAGAGTATAAATTCTCTGAAGGTATAGTCTTACTGTTTGGTTGTACCTTCTTTGGATAAGTATGATATTACCACACAGTAGGTATTCTTAAAATTGTTTATAGAATTGGTGAATGCATTTATTGTTCTTCTAGTCTGGGTTAAGTTTTCTGTTGTTGTGGAAATCTACCCATGTTATCATAAGTCTGGAGTAGTAAATACCTCAGAGTGGCAGTGATCTGAATTAGGATGCTGTTGATGGATAGGGATAGGAATAGATTGGAGACAGAGTTAGTAGGTAGTCGACCCAAAAAGAACTCGGTGATTAAATTCAATCTGTTGACTTAGATCCAAAGAATGACTTTCAGCTAATCAGTGTGAATCAGTATCTTGTCTCTCTAATGACAAACTGTCATTGAAGGTGTGGTTCATTTTGATCTGTTTTTCTCAACAGTTTTGTGGATTTCCTCTTTTTTATTCAATGTGTTAGCAGCTAGTTTACTCCTGAGAGCAAAGGAAAGGAAGAATGTGAACTCAATTTAAGAGGCAAGAAAATGTAGGAGTACTTGCATATTTATCAGTTTTTATTCTGTCTTTATCACTGAAGAAATTAAGTAAAGCACATTGATAGTTTAGGAAGGAATAGGGTTGGGGTTTATGTAATGAAAGGAAGCATAGAATAGTATGTAGACATTGGTTCTTAAAAGATAGATAGCTTGGGAAACCTCATTTTTAATATTGACCATCAATAGAAAAAATTGAAATAATTTTTTAGCAATTCGGTATGTATATTTTTATATATTTTATGAGTCTTGTATAAAAAGAATTGAGTACCCTGTCAAAGGAAAAGCCCTTGATGTAGGGTCTTCCATCTCTTTAACCCATAGGCATATATGCAGTGTTTGGTACATAATAATTCCAAGTGACACTCAGTAAATATATACTGAAGAAATGAGTTATATTGTATGACTCTCTGTACATAAATATTAGAGTTTATTTTAATTGCACATTTTTTTGTACCTTAAAATCTTTTCTTGCTACACTTCTCATTGAAGTTTTTTTAAATTAAGAGATAAAGGTCTTTTCTGCATAACTCCATTTCTTGCAACCTGATAATATTGTAGAATTTTATTACATTATACTAGCTTGTTATAAGCTTCATGGTAGAGTTAGTTATATATTAGGCCTCATAAATACTGCAAGTAAGTTTTAGATCAGTACTTGAAATATAATTTCCCTAATTTCAAGGCTTTAAGTATAAAAAATAAGTTTCTCTGAGATGCATGCAAGTATCAGAATAAAAGAATTTTTAAAGCCAAATTTAAATCATAAAATCAGCTCAGTGATATCTTTGAAATATTTTCATCTTGTAGTGAAATTTTCATTGAGCCGGAGAGATGCTTAGTGGTTAAGAGAACCTGCTGCTTTTGCAGAGGACTTGTTTTTTTGTTTCCAGCATTCACATGGTGGCTTACAACTGCCTATAACTCCAGCTCCAGGAGATCCAGCACCCTCTTCTGATGTCCATAGGAACTAGGCACACTGTGATACAAAGACATATATGCAGGCACTCATTAGTACTCAAAATAAAAGTAAGTAAACCTTCATAAAAATAAAATCATTGTAATATCAAGGTATGCCAAGTGGTACATATTCATATGAACATGTATAAGTAATAAATATTTAAAAACAATCTAAAATATAGCAAAATATATTACATCATCTGTCATCTAATTCAGAGAGTCTGGTGAACATTCTCATTTATGTACCCTTCTCCTTCTTTGGTACATAAACATACACACACACACACACACACACACACACACACCTGGGTATACTTTATGTATATTTGAGAAAAATCCATTCAGGAAGTGAGTGATACTGTTATTTTCTTGGCAAAGGACAAAAGCAACAAAAGTTGTAATCCTGTCTTTTTAAAATTTTGTTTCATTGTTTATGAAATCTAGAAGTCTTACTATTATTAATGATAATTATTTTATATACTTAAAGGTGAGCTAACCACACAAGTAATTAACCTTCATAAATATTCAGCTTACTCCTAGTTGACCACAGAATACAGTAAATATATTAATTTTTACCATAATATTTACTAAGTACATTTTATTTTTGTTCACAGTACCTGGTTATGGATTATTATGTTGGTGGGGATTTACTTACTCTGCTCAGTAAATTTGAAGATAGATTGCCTGAAGACATGGCTCGGTTTTACTTGGCTGAGATGGTGATAGCCATTGACTCAGTTCATCAGCTCCACTATGTACACAGGTAAGTTAGCCAATCTGTTATTCCATCTAGCTGCTATGATATTATATCTAGAAACAGCTTTGTTGCTGCCAAATTATTAATTATGGTCTTAGTTACACCTCATCTGCAAACAGTTTATTTTGAGGTTGTTTTGAGGTTTTGTGTTTTTACTGTTACTATTTACCTGCATTATTGAACTGATGTGTCTGCTTGTATGTCCATGTACATAGATTTTATCTATATATGTCCACTTCTAGTCAGTGTTTTTGTGGAAAGCTTTGAACATACGCATGACTGAATTTCCATATAATGTTCTTCCCAAAAGGAGTATGCAACAGTCAGTTTCCTTATATCTGGTTCTTATACACTGATAGAATTCTAGGCCACTCAAGAAAAGACTTGGGCTGGGGAAATAGCAAGGATGAGGCCTGAGTTTGATTTCCATTGCCATGTATAATCATGACATGACAGCGTGTACCGACTAGGGTTAAGGAATGAAGATCCCTAGAAACAACTGGCTGGCCAGAGAGTCTAGCCAAATTGATGAACTCAGGGTTTATTGAGAGACCTTATCTCAGAATATAAGGTGGAGAGTGATTGCAGAAGACACCCTAAATTGACCTCTGACCTCATAGGAACATGTACTCACATGTACACACTCATATATATATACATACATAAGAAAAGACTTTAAAGAATTACACAGATACAAAAGGATATTTTTTGCTTAAAAGACACTGATAGTTTAGTTTATGGCATGATCTTATTATAATCTGACAGAAAATTCATCACTTATGCTTTTTTCTAAATGAGCTAGTCATGGTGGTATATAACTGCAATTGTAGCACTTGAGAAGTAGAGGCAAGAGGATCTGGAGTTCAAGACCTGCTTTTGTTATGGAGTGTGTTAGAGGCCAACCTGAACTACCTAAGACACTGTCTCAAACAAAACAACTAGAACTTGTTTTTCTCCCCTATGAGTTGCATTATATATATTACATACCATTTATTATTGGATAAAAAAGTTAGTCTATTTAGAAAATGATTTTTATATAGGATTTTTTTTTAAAAACAGAGTAATAAACTATTGAAGAACATTTAGTGGTGTAAAACAAAGTAGGATCTCATCAGGTTACCTGGGAATGAGTCTTTCCTGGGCAATGCAGAATAGGAGAAAGAGGGAGTGGCTAGGAGTGGTGAAGGGCTACTGCTGCGATAAGGAAGAACCACTGCAGTTTTGAAAGTTAGACTTTAATCTCTGATTTACTTATTTATTTATTTTGAGATGGGATCTCACAGTGTGTATGTAGCTAAGACTGGCCTGGAACCCAGTGCACCTGCATCAGATTTTCAAGTGCTGGGATGCTAATCATGTACTACCAAAGCAGGGTCTTTATCATAAGACTGCTAAATATCATGCTACAGACCTTGGCATCTAATAAAGTACCATTCATTACCGTTTTGTGGCTGTCTTCAAGTTGGACATATGTTTTTCTCATTTCAAGTGTCTTTTTAGATTTTATAAGTTCACTCTTGTTGGAAGCTTGTCAGTCTATATTTTTTCCCCTAGTATTCTAACTACTCTCTTGGGTTAGATATGTGATGGAAGTAGAGGAAATACGCCCTCTTTTTGAAGAGCTACTTTGAAGGTAGAACTAATGATAGAATTGAATTGAGTGATAGTAAAAGCAGACCATGCAAAAAACACGTTCCTAAACATTGTGGAGATGTAGAATGAACAGTAGTTAAACGTATGACTCTGGAAGACCTGTTGGAAGAAGCCATGTCCACGTCAGAATGAAGATATTTCAAAAATTAAAATACTTTAGCTAAGGGAAATGGGCAAAGAAATGAAGATATATAAAGAGAAAGACCACTAAAGTTTACTATTACATTTTATCATTATTTATTTGGTGTGTGTGTTCACGGTAGTGCACATGTATACTGACTATGATGGTGTGAAGGTCAGAGGAATACCTTGGGTGTCATGTATTAGATGACTTTCACCTTTTGTTTGAGACAGTCTCTCATTGGTTAAGTAGGCTAGAATAGTTGGCCTGCAAGCTTCCAGGAATACTCCTGTCCCTGTCTCCTGTCTCACCATTGTTGGAGTTACAAGCACATGCCCGGACTCTAGGCTTTTTAAGTGGATTCTAAAGATTAAGTTCAAGTTCTCATGCTTACAAAGCAGGACTTTACTGACTGAGCCATCTCCTTAGGCCTATATTTTATCATTTTATTTTAAAAACATTCTTATTAAATTTTATATTAAATTTATGCATATTAAAATGTGTGTGTATGTGTGTGTGTGTGAGAGAGAGAGAGAGAGAGAGAGAGACAGAGAGAGAGAGAGAGAGAGAGAGAGACAGAGACAGAAAAAGAGAGACAGAAAGACAGAGAGAGTCCACACTGTGGCATATGAATGGAGGACAGCAGACAACATAGGTTCTCTCTGCCATGTGGGTCATTGGGACTCCAAGTGGTTAGGCTTGTGCCAGGAGCCTTTACCTGATGAGTCATCTCCAGAGTCTCTTTTATCATTTGAGTGTTAAAGTCATCACTTGAACACATAGGAAATATATCTATCTTTTCTTGTGCTTTTAGCAAATTGGTTATTTTCCCCTTGTATTTATTAACATGCTATTTTGGCAATCATAAAATTTTTTTTCATTAATCTGTCAACTCAGTTTAGACTTTGGTATGGATATACTTTAGTTCTGAGCTTAAAACATGTGTGCCACCCTTTCTGTGGTTTACTGAATAGTTGGTTTATATTTTAAGGGTATACCCTTACTTTTCAATCATCTCTTTGCTGAGACAGAGAATTTTGGAGTAGAGTTTAATGACTTAACAGCATCATGTGGTCTGATTCATGTTGAGTAAACTTTCTGCCAAATGTGGGTCATGACAACGTAAGTCCTGATTTCAGATGGAAAAAGCACCATTGTTTCTAATCCTGTTAACTAAAATCAACAGTGTTGCTGTTCAGATTGTCAGCTACAGTGCCATTTGTCAGAGACAAAGAGTCCAACAAAAAGAACAGAGGAACAAGTTGGTCTGGTTAGAACATTGTATTTGGCTATCGTACACTTTAGTTTTAGATGACCAGGAGGAAAGATCAGGAATTTTGTGATTTTTCTAACATCCCATAGATAATTTATATAGATAATCGTAGCATGGATTCTAGCACCAGAATTTTAATAGCTGATATTGTATATAGCTAAGAGTGACTACACTCTTACTCTGGTTCCTGTTCTTGCCTTGTTTCCTAGACTGGCAGAGCTAACAGTGCTGCACATTTGAGCATGTCAGGTAAATAAATGCTCCACCACTGAGGTACAGTGCTATGATTCAGACTTAAAAAGTTTCTTGACTTTTAGAAAGAAAGAGAATCCAGGAAAAGGACTTTTTCCCCTTCCCATTGCCTTTTTTTTTTTTTTTATTGTCTGTCTTGCTCTAGGAATTAGACAGAATGATCTTGGTACATCTTGTCAGGACAGATAGAAAAAAAGGGTCCACAGACTTTTAGGTTATGTGGGAAGAATTCAGAAACCAAATTGGAAAGGATACCAAAGGTTATGGTGGAAGAGGATGTCAGCTGCCTTGTTTTTCTTTTTATTGTACTCCAGGCTTGGGCTTTTGCTCTTTGGGCAAAAAATTGGAAGATATTTTTTTCTGTGGAATTCTGAATGAAAAATAAGTGAGTTTCGTATCACAAGAAAACAACTAAATCAGGTTAGTCAGACATATAAAGCATCTCATAATCCTAGTACCCTAATTCCTAAATGTAAGTAAATACCCATGGATCTTGATCTTCTGTAGAGAACCGGTAAGATTTAGTTGCAAGATCTTTTTGTTTTCTGCCATTTGAGAATCCAGCTGGAAAATAATCAACGCCCTGATTGTGGATTTCCAGTTTCCAGAACTCATTATTTTGCATTCTTTTAAAGTACCATTTCTTTTCATAAAATCTCCCTGTTTTGCTCAGCATCTTTGGTACACCCGTTCTTTTTTAGAGAATAAAGTGCTGCCTGATTCAAGAATTACAAAATAAATCAATTAAGATCTTAAGAAAAGAGAAGATTAAATCTAAGGAATGTGTATGTAACTCAGTGATAAAGCGAAGGACCTGAGTCCAGTCCCTAGCAGTAAAAATAAGATGATAAGTTTATGCCAAAATAAATAATGGAATAAAAGAAGCTGGAGGGAAAGGATAACTAAAGGAAAAGAAAACCTGTCCTTCCCCCGAATAACCATGAATAACCATCCAAGAGATGGAGATGTGTGACTCACGTGAAACACATTGTGTTGTAGGAAAGGGATCTTTACGCAGTAAAACTTTACACAGTAAAATTATGATGATATATTTAAAGAAAAGTTATCAGAAGTGTTAGAAAATAGAGTTGAAATAGGAGAAAACCCCAAATACCTGGGCTCATAGAGAAGTTGGCAGGGTCATGGGATGATAAGGTAAGACATCTAATAGAAGTTCCAGGATCAAATAAATAACGTTTTTTTATTATTGAATAACTTTTTTTTTCTGAAAATCCTAGTTCCTAGTACCTAGTACCCACTGAAAATATCTACTACCAACTGAAAATACCTAGTACCACCTGGAGGACATAAAGTTCATATTTAAAGGGAGCACTAAATGCTCATCCCGTGATAGAAAGTAGACCCACTTTACTGCACCTGAAAATCCCTGGGAGAGTACAGGTGACTGACTGTGGCGCGGCTGTATAAACAAGACACTGTTTAACCAGTTGTTAGTTGGTAAAGCATAGACTACGAGTTTTCGTCTTTGTGCGTAGTGGTTAGAGTTTAATATGTGTCCCTGAAGATTTCCTCTTCTAGATTGAGTTTCGAATTTTCAAGAGATTAGGAGGTCACTGCAACATGACATCCCTTTTGTCAAATCATATTTAGGAACACTTGATGTGAACTTGTTATTTAGACCATGAATTGTGTATATCACATAGGGTTATATCAATCATTACTACTTTGAATATTTATTAGACTATA